CTCTCTCTCTCTCTCTCTCCCCGACCCCCTCCCCACTTAAACAGTTGCATTTGCCTGATGCAAGTGTGTCGGTTTCTGTTCTCTTAGTTTTGGGGGAGTACTGTTGTGGCTATTGATATACTTAACTTATTAATTTGGTCTTTGGGTCTTGGAGTTTGCGTAATAGGATTCCTTCTTTTTGGTCTTGATGTTGATTTCGAGTCTTTGTCTTGGGTTCGGTGTTTGTGTGAAGCTGTTTGTTCTTGTTTGTTTGGATAGTTTGACACCTAGCGCCAAGCGTTCTCCGTGGACAGCTGTCGGGAAATTGTTTGCCAAGTCCACATACAACTATCGTGTTCAACATCGTATTAGAAACTCTTGGACTAAAATCGAGTGTTTGGGAATTTTTTTTCTCCTCTTTTCCTGAACAAGGTAGTTAAATGATATATCAGGCATTGATTGCGATTATGACCTGCGAGTTTTGTTGTTTTTTTAAACTAGATTTTACAACTATTCCCTGTCGAGTGGAAATGCCCTGGAACAATTTGCGAACTTTGTAAATCAGGAAGTGTCGTGTTTCCTCATGGTGTGATGATTTGTACTCTGGAAGGACAATGGTAGTGTGAAGTGTTGCTTGTTCTGTGCAGCTGCTCGTCTCTTCTTGTTTCCAGAGTGATTTTTGAGGTGCTCGGCGTATTGACACCGGGGAGGTGCGAGATATCGAATGTGACCTTGGTTATCAGAGAGACCGTTGCATATTGACTGCGGTGAGTGACAGTAGATGTGGTGTTAAAGATATATATATATATAGAGAGAGAGAGAGTCGGGAGATTGAACACGATGATGACATGCAGCAGAAGACAAGCGCTCTGCGCCACCGCCCCTAGAGTCCCTAAGTGTTCCACATGCTCCTCTTCCTCGCCATTTTGTTGCCATCCTCCTCAACTTTTCCTGTGATCTGGTGCCGCTGGTGTTGTTAAGAGCCATGAGCAGCAGCAGACGCTCTAGCCTGTCTGTGGACGTTCCGCACCGCAGCCCTTCGCCAGGACCGACGTCCCCTGGCCGGTGTGTGGCCCCCATCTCATCCTCCTCCTCCCCGTCCACCCCCTCCCACTCCCCTGGCCCTTCTCCCTTCCTGCTCAAGCCGAGTGCGGCGCAACTACTTGACATTCCAAACCGAAGTGCTCGCCCTACTAACTTTCCGTGTGCCTCAATGTCTGCCGTGGAGTTGCCGCCAGACATGTACAACTCCTCTCTGGTGGCCAAATCCATGACAGCAGCTCCGCCAGCCTCAACGACCGTGCCCCTCGTGCCTGTGGCTGCTGCGTCTGTGTTCCCCCGCCACCCAAGTGCGCTTGAGCAACTGCAGTGCCTGTCCGCACCGGCTTACATCGCCCACGTGCCTCACGAGAGTGCGGCCCACGCCCCTGCCCCCTCCGCCGGCTGCTGCAGCCCCTGTCGGCCGTCCAAGGACCCAGGGAAGCTCATCCCCTCTCCAACGTGCCAGGGCGTGGTTTCTGTCAGGGAGGAGCTGTTGCTCCGTCCCAATGACCAGTTGTGGGCGCTGTCGGGCACCCGGCGCCGTGTGCTCTCATCTTCTTCCATATCATCGCACGAGGACGCGACGGACCTCAACTCACCCAACAATAACATAAGCAGCAACAATATCAATAACTTAAATACCAGTGACGACGGCGACAAAGATTCTATCGTCCTGGACCTGTCAATCAAGCGGAAGTGTTCTTCTAATCCTTTCGCTACCACCAGCAGTGACACTGACATAGCCCCGCCCCCTTCCTCTGCTTCATCTCCCTCGTCCTCCTCTAGTCGACGTGGAGTCCGACAGTTGGAAAACATTGAAGTTGGATGTTCTTCTCCTCCTTCCCACCCCTCTTCATTGTGTGATAACCCTGATACGAAGAAACAGAGCGCAATGCCATCTCCGTTATCATCGCTTTTTTCCAACACCTACCATCCCGATCATCATCGTCTCCATCATCATCATTATCAACATCATCTCCCTCGTCCTCATCACTCTGTCGGGTTTTGGCTGGACTCATCGCCGAGACAGAGCGCCGGGGGTCGCGTGGGGGAGCTGAGTACGGCCCAGCAGCCGGTCCCCTCCTCCTCTTCTTCCTCCACCTCCTCCTCCTCTTCCTCCTCCACCTCCTCCTCCTCGTGTGTCCGGCCGTTTGGCAGAAGTATCCTGGAAAGGCAGCTGCTGTTGAACTCTGGCGGCACCGTCAAGTGCAAGACTTCACACACCCCTCGCCTACCTGTCATTGGGGGATTTCCGAACCCGACCACGACTGCTATGGCCACTACGTCTTCTACAAATATCTCCGGGTTTACTACTATCCCCGGATTGCGGGTAAATGATCGTCATATCAGAGGCGCAGTATCGGCTATATCAACGCCGTCTCATGACCCGGCTCTAGAGAACAGAGAAGGGGTTTGTGTAAAACTGGAGCCTTCTGTATCTCCTACCGCGACAGACTGCAGTCACCAAATCCCAGGCGTGTACCTGTCAGAGGCGACATTGAAGAAAGAACCCTTTTTAGAGACTGAAAGACGCGACCAGAGTACATTCCTGAGTGACGAGAAAACATTTTTCCGCCATCAGAGGGCGAATTCAGGTAACGAGAAGACTAACGTAGCATTAGACAAGAAAAACGCCTCTGTCGACCGGGGCAATTTTTTGCTGGAGCCGCCTCAACTTGTGCCTATGCAGGGGCTACCTCTACCCTGTCCGGGACTGGTCAGCGGTTGTCATCAGGGGTCTGGCGACGAGGTCATGGCCCCAAGGTCCGGCAGCAACGGCAATAGATTAGTGGGTCATCATCACGAGGCAGTGCACGAGATGACCTCTCGCTTGTACCGTCGCGAGGCGGAGGAGAAGAACAATGCTTGGCTGTTGTCTCACCAGGAGACGACGACAGACGCGAAGGCGTTGCTGTCACCGTCTTCGTCGTCCTCGTCGTTTCTGCTGACCGTGGCGCCTCCCCCGCCTTCTGTTCGAGTTGGCAACGGCTGTGGCTTTAGCAGCAGCGTGGTTGTCTGCGGCCCTCCTTCAACATCCTCGTTGGTGTCGCCTCTCGGTGATAGCGCTGTGAGCATGTCCAGCGGCTCTGGGGGTCTTTGCTGCAGCCTTGTAGATGGTGGCGGTGGTGGTGGCCTCGGTGGCGGTGGTGGTGGGTCCTCCGTGGCTGGGGACTCGACCTCTGGGAGCGGCGGCGGCTGTGGTGGGGGTGCTGACGGTGGTTTCAGTGGTAGCGTCAGTGAGCCCGTCGGGGCTGGTGTGGTAGGCGGGGCCATGAGACAGAACAACAAGGGCACCTTCAAGAAGGACCTCATGAAGCGTTACTGTAAGTTGTCTATTGGTGCGTGTGTCTTATCTGTCTGGTTCTGGTTCTCTCTCTCTCTCTCTCTCTCTCTCTCTC